TAATACTGGACACGTGGCAATTAAGGAGTGAGCAATTAGTAGTTCACTGACAGCATAGGTTACCGAAGAGTTAAAAAAGCACTGAAGACACTTCGCACAACACAGTCACTTTACAGGCAATACCAGCACCGAGATATGTGAATGATCGACCACCCCGAATAAGTGTTAGGTGATGGTGGTATTTGATGGCAAGAAACAAAACCTAGAAGATAAAAAGAATCTACTGCAGCATGCACTGCCAGGAGCAACCCGCGTGGCGGGGCTGTACGCTATCGTGCGCACCCCCAAATTGTGGATTGGAAAATGCCTTTCTTGCGAAGGTAACTGATAATAAGTCCGGTGGGCTTAGCAAGCGAGAAGAATAAGCAGTCGCGGACAACCACCGGCAGCGTCTCAGAGCATGGGGAGCTCTGGGCTGCTGAACTGAATCTCCATCAAATATCACAGGAGCTCGAACGGCGCTGTGGCAAAGCCAATGTGACCACTCACTCAGTTCTGTGTGTAGAGGCGAGTACCTAACGGAGGGTGGATGAACAACCTTGCTGGCCATCGGCTTCCATGTGGACTGCTACCAAACACTAAGAAGGCGAATGAGTCACCACTTGGCTGTCACCAGTCTTGGTATTCACGACTGGATGGATGTGCTAGCGACATGCGTAAAGCGTCGCGTTACCTTGTGGGTCAGGTTTCTAGGACCAAAGGGTTCGGGTGTGATGGCATAAATCAACCCCCTTCCTCGACCTTAGCAACCGGGAAACTTTCCACCCACACAACATGTAAACCTTCAGATCCATTCCCTTGACTGCGTCTTCTCTTTGTGTTGTTGTTTCCCATGTGTTGTGGCAAGCTGCCATATATATATATATATATATATATATATATATATATATATATATATATATATATATATCGTTGAACTTCTGCTCTAGACAAGTCAAACAAAAAGGAATCAATCGGGATATGTGTGACAACAAATAGAACCAACACAGCAATTCAAGTAGGATGCAAGGAAACCATATGGTTTGCATTTCGCACGTCACCTCAAAGGTATCGCCTTGCATCGGAAACTCCAGACTTAATGGAGTTAGATCAATTTTTCCTGCACGCTGGAATTATGATACGATGGGGGATTGATTATGGGAATTCGGGTCAGATTTGAGGTAAATAACGCTGATCGCTTCAGAGAAAGCATCCCCACCGGATTCCTTCCTTGTATGATCTCTTCAAACACCCTAAAAGAAACCACTGTGAGAAACAATGTGTTCAGAGCTCACTGGACTTCTGATGTTCGCATAGGTTTCAAATCTCTACGTGCCGAGTCACAGCTAGATTATGTCTAAATGAATAGGCCAGACAAGCAAGAAACTGGTTGCACGGTGCGGCGTTGGCATCGGGCAGCAAGCACCTACGTTATCCACTTCAAACATACTCCTAGCGATCGAAATGAAAGGGATTCATTTCCAAGTGAATCCCAATCACATTTCAAATTATTGAGCCGTTGCACAAAGATTCCTCAATATACGTACTCGACAGCCATAATCATTCCTCAGTTCTATCTTCCGCGTCTGCCAGACGGTTATAGATTATTGTGGGCGACAATAAAAGGTAGCTGTCGACAAAGAAATGACTAGGTGCGAATGCTGCCCGCCACACACATCTGATGAGATGAAGCTAGGCCAGACATGCACGTTTGCTACAGGCACAGTGAAACCCACTAGCGGAGGTGAACATCCATCCCACGCGGTTCACTGCTGGGGAGGCCGCAGCAATACACATGTGCCACAAATTGGCCGCCACGCTGTGAACGAGTTCGCCGGATAGAATAATACACCTAACGGTAAGCCTAACTGCATCGACTGAACCCGAGTGTAGATGCCCTCCATTGAAATCCGATGCAAAGCATAATTCATCCACAATAAAGTGACGGCGTAAGGGAGTTTACACCATGGTGCGAACGACGAAAAAGCAACTCACAAAACGCAACTTAAAAGGAGGTTTATTAATCATAGAGAAACTAAGGAGAAGGCACATAAAGAGATGAGATTTCAGATAGATAATCATATGCGACAGCAAGGGTGTCCTGCATTCAGAATAGTTTACAAAAAGTTTTGGTGTCAGTGATGAGACCAATGCAAAACCGAAAACTCGGCGATGCGAACGAAAGAAGCTGAGCGTAGTGCGAACAGGCGAATACACCGAAATAAGGACGCTAAGGCATTCGAACGTAGTCATCTAATGCAGATCAACGTAGTAAGAAGACGATGAATTATTTTTGAGTTAGAAATTGGCAAAGAAGATTATAAAACATAGGGAAAAACAAATAGCAACGACCGTAAGACAGTTTCATGAGAAGCCGGCCCGTGGCCGAGAAGATCTTACGCGTTGCCGGTAATCCGCAGCTCAGAGTTTCCAGTCTACCTAGGAGACCGGGCGACCCTCGTAGGATACTTAACCCATGCGGAATATTGCTAGTTGAGTGGCAGCGAAGCGTCAGTACTGGATACCAACGTACCCCCAATTTTTTTATTTACATGAGAAGAGGGCTACATTTTCTCCAGTGACGTACGTATTCGGGGGGAGGGGGTCAAGTGAAGCAAGAGTAGAGCTTTTAATAATAGGTTATATTGCATAAGCCACCCGTCGTATTTTGTTGAGGATAAATAAGGAAGGAATTTCGATGGGACTAGTGAATGGATTAAAGAACACACGAAACTTCCTAACACACGTGGTTAGAACGAAATGAGTTGAAAATGATGGAGATCAAGAAAAAGAAGCGAAGATGCTCAACTTAGTGACAATTGCTACCAGTCAACAACTGAATAAACGCGCGTACCCAACAACAAGAGAAAGCATTTAAATGTAAGGTATCCGAAAATGATAGCCAGTTGGTTCATAAATAAAATCTTGTTGATTAGGTGAAGAGGGAAGTGGAATCACTCCGCAGTGAGATGGTTAACTAAGAATTGAATGAGGAGACGGTGCAAACGAATCGACGTGAAGTATCAAGGCTATCTATTTCGAATATTGTAGACTGTGGTGAAAGTGCGCGAGTTGTGGATACTTTGGTGTCAATATCGAAAAGTAGAGTTTCGGAACAGACGACAGAAACAATAAGATTCAAAGGTTGAGTAATCCTTGGACATTCGACAATAATCTCGGTGGAGTTCCGTTTGCAATTACCACAAATTGACTTGATAAAGTTTGTCACCATCATTTATTATCATTCAGGTAAATGAACAGGAAATAGCAATTTATGACATCCCAGTGTCAGGATAGGAGTTATGTCTGAAAGACTGGCAGAGGAGCCGCTAAATCCGATAGCACAAACAATCCGAAGGATGTAAGAACACGGTTCTATGAAACTGCTGATGCATTGATAGCATTAGAAGTGGCTGCAAGTGACTGATAGACTTCGTAAGTGAAAAGGCTGTCGATGCATAATTAATTCAGCAACTGAATGCTGATGCTGGTGCATAGCGCGGCAGTAGAGAACGAACACACACATACACACAGGTTCTTGCACAAACGGTGAGGAGGGTGTAGAACTTATGGTAAAACTGTTCAGAATAATTCCAACTGTTAAAGTAGTTTCTAGTTCATACATACGCAATGCCATGACAGCAAACGCTACCGTAGGTTCAGCAGTGTTAACTACCGACACTATCACTTTTTCACAGCTAAGGACTATCGCAGCTTTAATGATATCCGGAAATCTCGGAAAGTAGTGGTCCAGTATCACTTGTTCAAAAGTGCAGTCAAGTCGCGATGCAGTTAAATACATCTCAATTACAGTCACCGAGCGGCAGCACCGAAGCGCAAACCGACCTCCAGTTAGCTTACAGTTATGGAAATTTAAGGCAATAGAAGAGATGGGTAGATTAGCTTGAACGTCTGCCTAAAATGTAGAGGATTGCTGAGCATCACCTAGAGAAACGAGTGACAAAATTTCTTCCGCGCCGTAGCTGTCGAGCTGCATAAATGGACCTAAGAGAAAAAGATGCGTAAAGAATGAGAAGGAACACAAGAGGAAAAAGTTAAAGGAGAGTATAGACCATAGAGGCTTGTTCATGCCCATCCACAGATAGCGTGATTCCTTGGTGGCTATGGCCGGTGAAAAATAAGACTGAACTTCGATAGCGGAATCATACGGGTAGGCTGCAAATATGCCCGAACATAGGCAGAAGAAAGACCGACGTCCTTATATTACGCTTCTGATTCCAACATACTGGTTGCAAGCAAGAGGAAGTTGATGAGGTTACTAAGGATGGGCCACATTTATGGAAATGAGTGTCATACCAATTTCGACGACGAGTATACACGACCAAACGACTAAATTTCATTAATTGCTGATGAGTAGATAGATTCTATACGAATTTTGTGTAATTAATCCAAACAATTTCCTATAGAGGTAACGCTTCACATGCCCGGAAAAGCACTATACGGTCGTCTCACCCTAGCAGGACTAGTCACTAGCGCGCATTTCTCGGTCAAATCATGAACCGAAGCTATGATCACTGACAGCAGTTTATGTCACTGATACATGTGGAAGACTGCATCATTCATGGTCGTGGTAAGGCAGTAGCTCAATGTGTCCAACAGAAACATAACGTTAGGTTAGAGAGACCAGAAGAGTACGTATGGTATCGTACTGAATAAAAGTTCGATCTTGTTGCAACTGTAAAAGGTAGCCATCATGAGCGTGCCCAAATGAGATCCGCCAACTTAAGATGACAAATCCAACGCATAAAAGTCAATTGCCCATACACAAAGAAAGACACAAATCAACTCTTCGTATAGAACTAGCAGAGCGCTCTTGGTGGTAATAAGGGGTATAAAACAGCCTGTACAGTTCGTGTGAGTTCGACTATCATCCTGGCAAAGATGGATCGATCGGTGGTGTGGATTAGTGTCAAGTACTTCGAGATCAGAGTGAAATAAAGAGTTAAACTGGACAGGCGCGAAGGATAGAAAGCATTCGGCAAGCAGGATAGGCGACTTACCAAATATCTAACGAGGCTGTGTAGGAAGTGGAGCCAAGCAGCACATCTGGTGGCCGATACCACAAGGTGACCACTTCATGGCTGTAGGTACGACTAGGCACTGATTTCGCTCGAGCTAGGCCGAAATCAGCCAGTTTAAGTTCCCCAGTGGCGGATATAAGTAAATTCTGCGGTTTCAAATCCCGGTGCAGAATATGTCGATCATGACAGTAGGCTAGACCACGAAGGAGCTGATACAAAAAGAGCTGTAGGAAAGACAAGAGGCAAGAAAAGAACAAAGTTACCATCAAAATTAAGTACAGGGAAACCCTCAACTAGGTGGGCATGTCAGAGCTAGAGTCAAAAAAGAATAATGATCAGTTTTGAGTATAACGTAGGCAGGGTCCTTAAAACAAGCGTTTGCAATTATCACTGATTGTTTTTACGGTATCCAGTACAGATATGCAATATTTCGGGAAGATCATTGACATTTCCTTTTGTTATCCCATTTGCAAGGTCAATGATACCGTCCTTCAACATTAATCTCTCGAAAAACGTTGAGATACAGCGCATGGTGTGGAAGTTTATATATTAGCCGAAAGGTCGCCAACACAATTAAACGAATTATCCGTAAATATTTTGGGAACGTGGGGAAAAATCCCTCGTACTGGCCGTCAAGCAAGCAGGACGCAAGTACCGATGATCTCCTCAAGTTAGGTGTACTCGTCGCTTGTCGACGCTGGAACGTTTCTTCACGTGACAATTGTATACCTTGTACCGATTCATGCGACTGCATTTTTGGTGATCCTTTAGCACATTAGCCGTAGATTTTCTAGAATGTGAAAAATGCATTTAGGAGGGCATTTACCATTTTCATTTTAAATTGCACCTTTTGCTAAACAAATTGGACATTCTTCAAACCGAATTGGACACATTGCATTCTAAGCAGCAAATCAGGTATTCGCCAGCAAGAAATGTGGAGTAAGGCGACTAGACTATGTTCAGACTACATTGTAGTCATGCTAATGCGACCGAATTGGATAAGCAGCAGGTGCCACAACAAACCCTTCTCTTGCTTGTGAACCTCGATCAAAGACGGTGGCTGAGTATGCCCCTGTCTCCCCATCGGTCTTCGCTTAGTTTATGTGCCTCTGACTTTACACATAGACCTGCGTAGCTATGCGACTATTGGAAAGTCATACTCCCGAATCGCGTAGTCTAGTATGACTTAAACAAATGTTACTTAGCATTAGTGCGTCATTATAAAGCACGGGTTTAGTGAATGGATTGCGATGCGCAATCGCAATGTGGACCGCGATTCCCATTTTAGTATACCTTGGCCAATTCGATCACTTGGACCGTAACTGATGAATGAGATAGGCGGCGACCCAGAGATTCCCTCTCACTCTTTGGGTCTTCGCGTATTTACTGTGGGTGTGTGGGCGAACCTATGCAGTGCAATTATGGTAACAGTGCAGGCTGTTATGAATCCACCGAAAACAGTCTAGCTTTACTGACATAATTTTGCAGTTTGATATCAAGAGCAGGGGAGTAAGGCGACTAGACGATGTACAAGCTACATTATGGTCACGCAAATGCAAAAGAACAGTGCAAACAGTGGGAGATTGCCTTTCATCGCTTCGTGCAGCATAAAGCTGCTAAAGCGATACTGGGTTTGGCAGAGTCATGGTAGCCTGCATTGATCCAATAATGGAGCAGTTGAATAGGCTCGCCAACACACCCGGAGAAAGTATGCGGAGGCCAATAAGGTGACAAGGCAAACTGTGACACAGGCTTCGATGGAGGTAAACAACGCTAATGATCAAGCGTAGGGCTTGCAAAATCGCCCAATGTTGGCACAGTCCCGTTGCGTTCAAATGAGCACAATGTCGCCTGAACATCATCCAGTCGTCTTGCTTCCCTTTTTTTGATAACGACTTGAAGTATTAGGCCAATAAAGCTAGACTGCGTTTGGTGTAGTCATGATAGTCTGCACTGATGTAATAATCGAGCAGATGATTAGGTTCACCCACATACCCACAGTAAATACGCGAAGACCCAAAGAGTGAGAAGGAATCTCTGGGTCGCCGGCTATCTCATTCATCAGTTACGGTCCAAGTGATCGAATTGGCCAAGGTATACCAAAGTGGGAATCGCGGTCCACATTGTGATTGCGCATCGTAATCCATTCCCTAAACCCGTGCTTTATATTGATGCGCTAATGCTAAGTAACATTTGTTTAAGTCATACCAGACTACATGATTCGGGAGTATGACTTTCCAATAGTCCCATAGCTACACAGATCTATGTGTAAAGTCAGAGGCACATAAACTAAGCGAGGACCGACGAGGAGAGAGGGGCATACTCAGCCACCGTCTTTGATCGAGGTTCACAAGCAAGAGAAGGGTTTGTTGTGGCACCTGCTGCTTATCCAATTCGGTCGCATTAGCATGACTACAATGTAGTCTGAACATAGTCTAGTCGCCTTACTCCACATTTCTTGCTGGCGAATACCTGATTTGCTGCTTAGAATGCAATGTGTCCGATTCGGTTTGAAAAATGTCCAATTTGTTTAGCAAAACGTTCAATTTAAAGTGAAAATGGAATATAAAGTTTGCATTGTGTTGAATGAAGTTACTTTATGGGTTTAGAAAAGCACGGTCATTCCACCTAAGCCAGTCATACTGTCTGACGTAATTTTTATAAAATAACCATGTTATAAACTGCGTGGATACAATACAAGACATGTCATGACAACAAGCAGTTAACATTAAAAGCGAGACCGTGGCTAGTTCCCAATATAGTAAAGATATAGGTTTTTGTTTTATTACGAATTGAAGAGATGGCGTAGAGGCTTCTAAATGCACTGCGCGTCTACATCGACATCAGATTGAGGATTATAGTCGAATGACCGCAGTGAACCCGTGATTGAAAGCCCTTTGAACGTAAAGAAAATCTCAGCAAACATTGTTAATTGTAGTTGGTATGAGAAACCTCGACGCGGTGATCTACAAGGTCGCAAGTAGAAGTGACACAACAGAGTTAACCGAAACGCTCTCAATACACTGGTGGACAAGGTAAATGGTTGAAATAGAATGAAGACAGAAGCGACCGAAAAATAACAACGTTACCAGCGCCTAGTAGCGCACTTACTTTGTACGCAGGCTTCCGAAAATTAGAAAACGGATAACGATTCAATCAGATAAAGTTGGAGATAGCAAATAGAAAAACAGCAAAGACTAATAAGAATTGTTAGGTGTAGAGATCGAAGATTAAACATCGAGTTTCAGGGACAGAGGCAAATATATATATATATATATATATATATATATATATATATATAAAATACACAATCTGTGGTACAGATATGGTGCCATCGGGGTCATGGCTGAACAGGAAAACAATATGAATAATAAGAAAAGAGCAACAACAAAAGCTTTTTGTTTAGTTTAACACACACAGTTTTTGAAATATTTTTTCAGTTAGTTCTTTTTTAGGAGGAGGAAGAAGAGACATCGCAACACACCGATGCACATGTCCGCCATTGACATCAATCTTGAGCCATGACTTCCAAGGTCTTCAGCCAGCAAGGATCCGCATCTCCCGCACCCCAACCAGGTAGCCGAAAACAACCGGCCGAGGCCAACTGTTTCGTCAGCTTTTTCATGCGGCTTCTCCATGTTGCAGGCTGTCCACCAGACCGTCTCTTCCAGCCCTGTCCAGCAACCGAAAATAACGCACGACGCGGGTAACGCTGGACAGGCATGCGCAATACGTGTCCCAAACACCACAGTTGATGCAGTGCGACGAGCTCCTCGAGCGAGTGGCTTCCACGTCCCAAGACACGCTGTCTAACTTCCACATTGCTTAAGTGGTGCTGCCACCACACACGGGCAATGGACCGCAGACAGCGGTGCTCGAAGACGGATAGCCTGCGCAAGTCATCTTTACGAATGGGCCAGGTCTCGCATTCGTACAACAGTACAGCACGAATAGTTGCACAATAAACCCGCCCTCTGATGGAGAGACGAATGTCGTGGCGACGCCACAAATGCCTCAGCCTAGAAAAAGCGAGGCCTGCTCTCGAGATGCGCATCGAAATCTCGTCTCCAACAGCCCCGCCAGCAGTGATGCAACTTCCCAAGTAGACAAAGCTCTCCACAAGCTCTATTGTTTCACCAGCAAGAGTGAGTGCAGGCAGAGGCACCTGCCAGTCTTGGAAGAGAGCCTTGCATTTGGATGGCGAAAAGTACATACCGTACTTTGATGCTTCAATCGCCAAGCGGTTTAGTGAAAGTTGGACTACCTGTGGATCGTCACCCAGCAAGACGATATCATCAGCATAATCCAAACCAACAACTCGACTACCTGGGAGAAGCTCAACGCTAGTGTTCAACGAATCGCCTAGAGCGTTCTTCAAGACATCCTCGATGGCAAAGTTGAATAGGAACGGAGAGATAGGGCATCCTTGTCGAACTCCACTGGCGACCATAAAGGTAGGCGAAAGATTGCCATAAGCCCTAACGCTGCCCGAGGTCAGACTATATAGAGCGCGCAGTATGGAGACGAACTTCTCGGGGACACCATTCCTCAGTAGGCAGTGACACAGTACTGTACGATCGACAGAATCGAAGGCTGCGCGGATATCCAGGAACACAGCAATCGTTGGCCTCTGATACACATGGCGGAGCTCGAGGACCTGGCGAAGTGTGAAGATTTGATCGATGCAGCCGCGACCAGGGCTAAACCCAGCTTGTTCTTCGCGTTGTAACGATTCGCACGTTGGGGATAACCTGCGAGGTATGATGGACACCAGCAGCTTGCGAACAACGGGGACAAAACTTATTCCTCTGTAGTTGGAGCAGATTGTGTGCAGGCCCTTTTTGAAGATGGGGACGACTATCGATTCACTCCAAGATGACGGAACTTTCTCTTTCGACCAAATTTTCGAGAACAAAGCGGTGAGTTCTCGAACCAGCGATGCGCCACCATCTTTAAATAGAGCCGGAGTAAGACCATCAGGGCCGGGAGCTTTATAACGCTTCATGTGCCGGAGCTCCTGCTCGATTTCCTGGGAAGAGGGAGGATCAGTGGGGGTAGACCACTCGGCCCCAGCGCGAGCGCCAGAGGTAGCAGATGGAGTTGGGGGCCAACAAAACTGCGAGCCAAAATGTTCGGCCCATCGCTCCAACTGTCGTTGAAGATTGGTTATTAAGGTGCCATCCTCTTCGCACATTGTAGCACTTATACCAGATCGAACACCTTC